GCAGGAGACCTGCAGAGGATCTTTATTTTCTGCATTTCCTTTATGTAACTGTTCTCATTTTCTTAACGTGTATCACTTGTGCTATTAAACAAGTTTTTCTACCGTAGTCATCATTCGCCCCGACTCACAGAATTACTCTACACCGACATGTACCAGAGAGCCAGAGGTTCCATCAACCAAGACCAGAGCAACAGACTCCCTCAGGACCCCCGGTGACAGAAAACAACATTTCATAACCTTCTAGGGAGGGCCGAGGTCAATGGCTTGGCCTTAAACGAACGGAACACAGGTACAAGCCACAGACTCAGGCCTCCTGGGAAACAGCAAACCCCGGGGGAAAGAGAGAGTCCTCTTCACACTTTGTTTTTAAAACAGGTTTCTACCCGCTCCCGCTGGAAACAACTGCACCCCTTGTAAACTACGTGCTAGAATTAATTTGGGAGTTTCGGGGAAAGCTGGCACGCATTTGGGAACGATCCCCAGCTACGCGATCTCAAACGGTCAAGCACCTGTTAAGTATTACGAATCACAGCAGTAACTTAAAAACCAGTTCTAAGTCAGAATTACATACACGGTCCCCACAAACCTGCACAAAACCAAAGACGAACCCAGGCACTCAGTGTTAGTTTTTATCGCTATTTATGATCAGACTCTTAAGAATGTTTTCCGGAGGGTCCACGTGCCCCTATGCGCCTGCTGAAAACACATGCACACACATACACACTCACACGCACACACAAGCACATTTACCGTCTGCACTTACATACCACCTTCCATCCATGGGTCCCAAGTGGCCTGTCAGAAGTGCTGTTTTCGTAAATCCCCAGTGAGATGCATAAAGGGCATCACCTCCATATTACACACAGATAAACTTGAACATGGGGGCAGGTCGGTGGCTGGTCGACAGTTATAACCCACCCCGCCCCCCACAGACGTCCCTTCGCACTCTCCCTGGCCCCAGTTTCAATCACGCAGGCAGACCATTGTTGCCTGGGGATGGAGGTGGCCTTCTATTTCCTGCCCCGAACCTGGCCCGGGGCCCTGGCTACACTGCATTTAGCCACAAGTGCCATCAGCCCTGAGTGAGCAAGGACGGCTCAGCTCCTTGGAAACCTGAGCGGTGTGTGTCAGCTGGCCCTGCCACCAAGAGCCACTCCAGGCCATGCTGCTAACTCCTCCATCACCTTCCCAGAGCACCCCACGGGGGGTGATGACGTCTCTCTCTCTCTAAGCTGGGTGACAAATGGAAACAGCTCAAAGACACTCTCTGGCCCCACTCCAGGTGGGCGGCACTGAGACAACTCGATTCCACTCCCTTCCCAGGGAGTGACCCCGACCACTGCTAATGGATTTGCTTATCTGCGTCTGTCTGTCCGGTGATCAGGCTGCTTATCTTTTTAATTTAGATAAGACTGCGTTTCAGGGGTTGCCTTATGAATTTGAACTTGGCTGCAGTCCTGGGACAACTTTTCATAGCAGTAAATCTGTCATCCTTTCCCTTACTGGTTGACATTTTAGTTTACGGGTTTTCTTTTTCTAAAAAGGCAAAATCTACTACTTTCCTGTTTCACTCACCCTTAGCACACTTTCCACCCAAACAAAGAAATCCTTGCCACGCCTATAAAGAATCCCAGTGGTTGAAACTTAAAGTTCTAATTAGATGAACTCTAGCAAGTTTAATTAGAAAAGCCAACTTCGCTTATAGTCCACAGGCTTTTGTAGTCCCATTTTTATAAGGAGCATGTTTTTATACATTACTTGTGTACTTTTTAAGCAATAAAAGATAATTTTAATGGCAATGTTACATGAATTTACAGTTCTTTTGCTATACTTGTGGGATAAGAACCAGTAAATGAGTGGTTTTTTTAACCTTTAAAAATGAACCGGACACACGCCCTGTGCCGTGACTTTTGTATTAAAGGGGCGGAAGTGCACATGGAATAAAGCCGGGCCCTAAGGAGAACAGGGCAAGGGGGTGCCAGGCAGGGTGAGAGCGCTGACAGGCATGCGGACGCCAGGAGGCTCATGGGAGAAAGTGAACAGAGAGAGGACACCTTAGAGAGCCCGGGACAAGGCATGAGGGCTGTCACGCAGCCTGAGGGAAAGCGGGCAAGCTCCAGTGGTGAGTCGTAAGTACCCACCTGCTTCCCGCCACGGCCTTTAACCGCCCCAGTCCCGCATGCACACTCCTGGCAGGTACAGGCGGCTGACATTACCCTGGAGCAAAGATAAGGCCTTCCCCTTTCTCTAAAGACGCACGACAATCTTGGAGGTGGACCCAAGGTTCTAGTCATCAGTGCTCTGTCACACAGTGACATTCCCACTCCAGCGGCTGGGCAGCCTCGGCCTAACAACTGAGTTCCCACCTCACGTCCAGAGCACCGAGAATTCTCACTGGGGAAATGCCACCCCCCTCGCCCCTGATGCGTGGACCTCCTTTCTCAATGATGACCAGACAAGCGAATATCACCAAGATGTTAGCTGATCCAGCTGCCGAGAGAGACCAAGATACATAGACGTGAAAAATCCTGGTGGAAACAGACAAACGGGTGTATAGTAGAAAATCTGACTCAGATTGAAGATAGAAAAGCAGAAGAGGGTGCTTTGGAAAAAAAGGGAATAATCAAAATAATCAGAGAAGCAATTAGAGACTTAAAATGAAAGCTGAAATAAAATATTGAAAAGAAGAATCATAAGATAAAATACAGGCAATCTGCCAGAGCACAGGATTAAAGAAGAGAAAGCAAGCCCAGAAAACCCCCGAGTCCGGCGCCAGGTGGAGGCCCAGGACGAGAGGAAGAGGCTGGCCACTTCCCCATCTTCGCATCGCTCATTCCCAGGGGAGCTCTGACGGGAGCCCCCGGGACTCACCACGCAAGACTAGGGGCCGGTACACTCATGAAGAGTTGAGGGTGGCCAGAAAATGACCAACGACTGCCGCTTTCTTACTGCGGCCTGATCGCGCCCAGGAAGCCAGGACCACACAGCCCCCGTCCCTCCGGGAGGGGGAACGTGGGGAGCGTCTGCGGGAGTGGACCTTACGGGTGTGGCGTCCTGGGGAAGGAACGTCACGCTGGGTCGGGCTGCAGGTGCTGACGTGGGCCCATCAGGCAGAGATTCTGAATTCAGCGTTTTAACTCGAGGGGGTGAGAAAGGGACCGAACAGTTTGGTCAGCGGAACCGTTGGCTCAATGGGCTTGACGACACGACAAGAAGTTGCCGCCGGCCCTGGCAGAATAGAGGAAGGGGCCCGCAGGCGTGGGGGTCTTCCTCCCTCTCGTGTCCCCTTCTCATCTCTAACATAAGATGCGCTAACGGTAGTTAACTTTACATCGCGGAACCTAAGTTCCGGGACCAAAGGAGAAAAGGGATGTCGCCCAAGGCCTCTGCCGGCCCTTCGGGGTGCGGTCGGGGTGTGGTCAGGGCGCCTCGGCTGCCTGAAGGGCGAGTGGCTTCGTTATTGCCTTTATCTGAAATTAAGTACAGCTTGAGGAGAAGGGTACAAGACAAGGAGTAGACTGTGCCCTGTGTGTCACCTGACTAGGCTACGGTCCCCAGTTATTCAAACATTAATCTAGGTATTGTTTGAAGGTTTCCGGTAGCTCTGACAGTCCATAATTAGACTTCCGGTTTCAGCTATGACATGTAAAGAGCTTAAAAGTCGTCGCTTCCATTCTTACTGCTGAAGAAAGTGAAAAATCCATGACTTTCCTCGGACCTGTCAAAGGACTGAGGTCGTGGGGCAAACTGGCGCCCTGAAATCTGGAGATGCGCGAATGCAGAGAACCACAGTGAAGACCTGCTTCCTTGGGGCAGAAACTTCGGAAACCACAAGCCGACGGGAGCACTTACGTGGCGATCCTGACGGATGCTGGCGGCCGCGTGGACTGGTCTGAGCGAGAAGCTCCCGCGCTGCAGTCTCGGCGGGAAGGGAGAGGGGCGCGCTTTCGTGGGCACTCCCAGCATCCTACCAGCTCTCAAGGTTAAGAGCCACGAAAAAAAATCCCCGCGCAGCTCTGGCAATAACCATCGTGAAATACACCCCGATCTTTCTCCACAAGAAAAGCCTTTTCCAAAGCCTTAGCCACCTAGAGGGAAAGAAACCGGTTAAATAAGTGACATCACCAGCAGGGGGCGCTAACTTGTCCCCCTGCCAAAGAACTTTTTAAATAACGCCAATGAGTTAACATTATGGGCATCTGAAATAAATTACTTTTTTGCATGACAAGCTCCAGCCTAGTCACCAGTCTCCTCCCTTATCCAATGGCTATTTTAACCTGACTTCCCTCCAAGGGTCTTCAGTTTTAAAGGGACAGACTCTGGCATCAATAATTCTTAAAGAGATGCCTGCTCAGTAAGCTGGTCTTGCTTTCTCTGAGGATGTACATAGGTGCACAAGCATTTTTAGATATTAATGGTTTTTATGTTTTTCTCGAAATGAAATAATCTTCTATTATGTTTCAAAGATAAAATCACATTAGCATTTTCAGGAGTAAACTTTATTACTAGGGCTTTAAAATGCATCTAAGAAAATTGTAGTAGTACCTGCATGTAAATATGGAGATTGAAGGAAAAGGAATTCTTAGGAAAATTCTGTCCTACCTAGAGTATCTCTTATGCTCCCTCTGCTGGCTACCATTTAAATAAAGTAGAAAAAAAATATAAACCTTTTCTCTTCCAGGAGGTGACAGTACGTGAGGACGCTAACAATGCTTCTGCTGAAACTGAATGGGAAATTCTCTCCAGGCAAGTCTAACTGACGACTGCTCGCCCTCCCCCACCACGCTTCGGGACTTCCTAACAGATTGCGGGGGAGGGGGTAAAATAAGGGAAGTTCTTGTCAAGTCTGAATGTTGATCGAGTCAATATGCAAAAATACAAAAGCATTTAGTATAAAACAAAGCAACTATAGTTATCATTCAACGCTAAAAAATTAAGAATTTAAATATATTTCACAAACGTCACTAGAACAAAAAGCTTATACCACACTAATTAATCTATTAGTTTCAATATTAAGGTTTATTTTTTTTCCAGAGTGAGGTTAAGTAACAATTTAAATAATTATCAGGATGTATAAATGAACATCCATTCAGATAAAACATTACTGCTTAAAAGTGGCTATCTAAGAAATATTTTGCACGTAATAAATATATTTTATGTTTAGGTTTACAGGCACCATCTTGAGAGCAGAAAGTGTTTTTTTTTTTTTTTTAACCAATAAATAAATTACATTCAAGAAAACAAGGTGTTTATATCTGAAGTATCATATATCCTTAAATGTTTTTCTTCATATAGCACCCAAACTTCCAAACCGTCTAGAAAGTATCTCCCAAAATATAACTCATACCTTCAGTCATAAAAATAAAGGCCAAGAAAAAAATCAATTTAAGACAAAATTTACAATTTATATTCTTAATTCCCCGTTCAATAAAATATCAATTGCCAATTTATTAAAAGTAAATGAACTGTATATATGCAATCCGTTAGTGCTGAAAATCTGAAATATATATTTTTAAAAGTCTTTCTCAAAGTATTTAAAATATTGCATCTCTGGTGGCAAACCTGAAAAATTACCCACTTTTTATGTCCCTAGTGTTCGCCCTTCCATTCCCATCCCTACCCCTTGGCGCTTTAACAGCCATCCAGCTTTTCTTCCTTTTTGCTTTTCGGAAATACACTTACTTATGTCTCAAACACAAAACACTGACAATACCCCTTGGTTAACAAGGAGATCCCAGAACAGTCCAAGCCTACGGCTTTGCTCTCAAAGTGTGGCACAGGCTAAACGACAGGAAAAAACAGTCACTGGCCCTCCGTGACGCAGGCGGAGTGCTCCTGAGAGTCCATAGCTGTCTGAGAATTTGCTGCTGTAATCCTGAAGAAAGTCTCAGCACATTCTGCAGACAAATATCAGAGAATAAGTCTTTGATTGATAATTTTTCTATTTATTTCTGCCAAGGCGACTGAAAACACGAAAGCCTTTTCATCAGAGAGGTTAGCATAGATGTCAATTTCCTTTTCCTGTTTCTCTGTTAAAAGAAAAAGGGAAAGCTTAGTATACAGGCGGCAGATGCAGTAATTTGGCTAAAAATCTGAAAGCTTTTGAGTATTTACATGAGAATATTACATATAATACAATGTACATTCAATGTCATAAAGTATTATGCTACTGAACTGAATTTTTTAAAATTATACAAAGGAGTTATTGAAGTGTCATGAACTCAATTCGAAAACTAAACAGAGACTCCATATTTCTTTACAGTCCAACATCTACATCAAATCCGTAAGAATCTCACATTTCTTTCTCCCCACTAGTATGAGCCAGCTGTTTCCATCAAAATGAATTTTCTCACCCTCACAATGGTCCCTTCTGAACACTGCTGGTGCCTTTATGAATACATTAACTTCTTCGCCTTGGCCCTGCTACCGAAAATAAGAATAACCAACATTTTCCCCCTCCTGATTACAAATGTAATCTAAGTTCTTGGTAGAAAATTTTTTAAATACAGAAAAATAAGAGAACACCTATCTCTTAAGTCAGCTAAAATCATAATCAACATCTTTGTGTACCTTCTTCCAAATTCTTCTTTCAGGCTCTACTATGATTCTGCTTTTGTCCATTTGTTTTGCTTTGCTTTGACTTTTTAATCAAATTTAAACATGCACATAGCTTAAGAGTCAAATCATTTTTACAAAACTTATCACCAAAACCCCCCTGCACATTTCCTACTCTCCAGCTGCAATGCCTTTTTTTTCCAGATGTTCCTTTTTGGTTTTACTTTATTACTTTATCTCTAAAGTAATATTTTTACAGGATGCTACTTCTTGGTTTTTTGGTTTTAGGCACTGTCAACTGACTTTCCACCGGGGAACACTAGGATTTTACCCCCATCGCACTCTTCGCTCGCATCTTCCCATTATACTTGTGTCACAATACTGGTGAGATTAGTATTTAGATGGGTACATTATTCTATGTAAATGATTTCACTTTCTTTTTTCGTCTGCTTAGTTTCACTACTAATTGAACCCGAACTCTCTTCTAGTTGTACAAATCTTTCAGAATGTTTGTGCATATTACTCTATCCACTGTATCTTCCTGAAAGACTCTCTCCAGGTCTGGTCCGCTCCCACCTGGAATGGCTGGAGAGTCTCCTCATGTCCCAGGACTGTGTCCCAGATCCCAGGACACCCTCTCGGTTTACATCTTCATTCTGATGGCATGTAACTTGCAGTAGCTTCCTGAGAAAGGGAGCAAATTTTTGAGGCCCTGAATGTCAGAAAATGTCTCCAGGCCACCTTCACGCTAGTTCACAGTATGGCTAAGGACACGCAGATTTCCTCTTAGTAGTGTGAAGGCAAAAACTGTCTTCCGACAACTGGTGCTACTGTTAAGAAAACCCGATACCCTTTTTTGTAGTTATTTTTTAAATTCCTGCTAAATTTACAGAAAGTGAAATACAAAGATCTTAAATGTACAATTGGAGGCGTCATGACACACACCCACGTGACCCACGTCACAATCGGCACACAGGAAAGTCCTCGTGCTCCTTCCCAGGTGATCCCTCGCCACCACGCCAAAAATGACTTCCGCTCCCGTCACCGCAGATTCACTCTGCCTGCTCGACTTCACGTAAACGGCATCATACAGTACGTACTGTTTTGTGTCCAGCTTCTTTTCAACGCGTTTTTGAAATTCACTGACGCTACGCACGTATCAGTAGTTTGTTCTTTGCTGGGTAGGATTTCACTGTATTAATTCTAATACCATTTTGATTCTTCTCCCTGTCTTTATCTGAACACTTGAAGGATTGCCCTTTAACCAAAGAGATACAATTTATGATAATATGCTTGGGTATAACTGCTACTTTTAACCATCCACCGGGCTGGGAATTTAGAAGACCATTTCAACCGAGAAACTCAATGTCCTTCAGGTTTGGGAAATTTTCCTGAATTATTTCACGGACGACTTCCTTCTCCTCCATCATCTACGTTCTTTTTCTACAATGCCAACTATTCATAGATGCTGACCTCAAACTGGTCCTCTAAATTTCTTACATTTCTCATTCTATTTTTTCATCTCTTTTCCTACTGCTCTATGTTCTGGTACATCTCTTCAATTTTGTCTAAGATTTGTTATGGTTTTTCATTTCTGAAAATCTTCCAGGTACTTTTTGACATCTGCAATTTCCTTTTAAATATCATCTTGTTTTTATTTCGTGACGACAATATCTTCTCTAAGAATATTTGTAATAGTCTTAATTTTTTCTTCTCCCTGCAGAAACTTGTTTTATCCAACTTTTTTTCTTCCGTTGATCTGGCCTCAGCCTTCCATACTAGACGTTTTCTTCCATGTATCTGGGTAATACTTAGTAGCATGCTCACACTCTAAGAGGGGCCAGAAGAGTGGACTGGCTCCTGCACATATGTGAACTTGACTGGGTGATGTGATGGGGCCGTTTCCTTGTGAAATCCTTAATGAAAGCTTTACTTTAGGCCTTTTGGCTCCTCAGAGTCCCTAGAGAAGATGCTTCTACTCTCTCACCTGGAAGATATAAAGCCGACCTGGAGAACTCAGGATTTACCATCCGATTTTCACCTAAGCTCCTTGACCTTAACAGAGTCCCCAGGCGGCAGGGCGGCCTGGAGTCCCCTAGCCCAGAGGCTGTTTTGTCTTACCTTTCTCAAAGGATAAACTTGGAGAGAGAGGAGGAGAAGGTAAAACTGCCTTAATGAGCTATGAAAACAGGGACTTCCAAACAACCTTATTTTTAGCCTGACCTACACCACTACACTTCCAGGCATAACTGATGCACAGATATCTCATCTTAAGGCAGTTGTGTAATAAAAAGCAGCTTCTTTCTCAGCTTTCTCCAAAGGAGCTTACGGTTTCATGAGTGTGCTAAAACAGTTATCATTTTCCAGAATTTTGCTGCTTCTCTCCTTTCTTGTCCCTGTGGGACTTTGCCATTTTAAAAAATATCCTTTTACTAGGATCTGGGGAGGGTGCAGAGCTAAATGTATTTATTCCATCCACCATCTTTAACTTTAATTCTACAGGTTCATTAATAGGATACTCAGAATTGCACAATATATTTTAATCAGTTAAAATGTCACTACTACATTACTAAGATCCAGAATAATCATATATTCTTCCCACATATAAAATAAAGACTTATCTTAAACCAACCAAAAATTGTTAAGTTTAATGGTTTGTTTTTATGATTTTATAAAGATTATGTTGTTATCTAAATGTCTAATAGCTTTCCTTTTTCATTCTTTCTTCTTCCTATTCTTTTTTAAACTCCAGAAAATAATAAAGTCAATTAAATGCGTGTCGAGTTATCCTTATTAAAATAAAGGTAAAGCCTGCTTCAGATTTTTCAAGTGACCTATGAGCAGGGAATCGATAAAAGCTGAATTGAACTAAATAGCTAGTCACAGTAAGCAGCATATCAAAGAAGTCTATTCCCAAATATACAGACACTTCAAAAGTCGTATTTTCTCTCCATACTATATTCAGAGAACATGGTCTGCCTCGAGGGTTAGCAAAATACGCCACCTGTTTTTATGAAGTCTAACTGGAACACGGCCATGCCCACTCATTTACATATTGTTTATGGCTGCTCTCCAGCTACAATGACCGAGCAGAGTAGCTGTGACACTGACTGTATGCCCCGTGAAGCCGAAAATACTTATCTGGCTCTTTACGGAAAAAGTTTGCTGACCATGTCCCCAAACCACTGCCACCCAGTATACGTTAAAATATTTATTCTACAAAAACCGCTTTGAGCACTTTCCTGTTTGCATGAAAAGCAAATAAATTAAAAGCATAATTCACTCTAAAAATAGCTTTCTTAAAACTTTTCTATAATATACCGATTATTCCTGAAAAAAGCTTATAGCCAAATAAACGCTGATTTTCTCAGGTTAACATGAAATAAAAGCTCCAACCTGCGTCTGTGGAGCCCTCACACAGCTATACGGAGTTCGCCCCGGACTAAAAGCCCGCGGCCGTCGGCCTCCCCACCTCCCCACCTCCCGTGCCCTGGACCAGCGACATTCCTTCTCCCTTCTCTGGGTGACGTTCCCTTGACTTCAACGGAAAAGAATGTTGTTTTCTGGGCCAAGCAGTATTTTCCTTTCTTCTTTTTTCTCTGCTGACTTTTCTTTACCCAGTTTCCTTTCTGAAACAGTCGCTAGCGTGGATTTTCTGATCATCCCACTGTTACAGCAGCACGTACAAACCGAGAACATAACTCAAATTCTCTGGAAGAGCCCAGCGGCAGAAGGAAAGAGAAAAGCAGTCAAATATCCCAAGGAATTAAGGAGCCTCTAAGCACAGTCTGCACAGAATACAAACCCAGTGTAAACCGTATTCCTTTACCCACGCCATGTGAAGACGTCTTTACCTTGATAAAAGGGAGGAGCAGCTCTACCAGTGAAGTCATTTTCCCTAACGGTAGTAACTTTATTTAAATAAAAGCACACAGAGCAGAGAGAAGCGAACAGGTAAAACATTCCCAATGTCTAAAAATGAGAAATGTGTATTTATGTTGAATATCTGGATACCTAAGACTGAATCCCTGAAAAAGCAAAGCATAACTCACAAATAACAAATTATAAATGCATTTCACCGAAGATGAATTATTTTGATAGAGGTTTTTAAAAAATTATAAAGAGCAACCGGCCCCTTTTTTCATTAACTACTGGCTTGAAAGTTTCAATTCAAAAAAGATATTTATGGGCATATGGGGATTCATTATACTATTCTCTCTACTCTCATGCAATCTTTGATATTTTCCATGATAAAAGTTTTTTTAAAGACGTATAAATCAAAGGAAAAGAGGAGCTCAAGTTTTAGTTAATGATTAAAAACAAATTACTGATAGACACACTCAGTATCAGAGGAAAAAGAGGTCTGTAAAGAGAAACATAAACACGTTTTTGGGCCTAGAAGAACTCACCTATCCAAAAGCTGCCTCAAAGCAAGGCGCGTACAATAAGCAATTTAAAAAATTCACACTGAAGAATATTTCCAACAGTAAATTTTTTAAACTCACAGGATAACAGTTTGAAATAAGTCTTAACAGAACTCAGATTTATCTTTTTTTAAAAAAAAAAAAGAAGTACAACCATTTTAACGGGCTTCTCCAGAACGTCATATATCAATCATTACCTCTGAACTCTATCATCGGTGTTCAGTAAGGTGAATTTTACCTAATTTAAGCCTTTAATTTTCCGATAAGAATTAAATTTCTATTTGTTTGTGTGTCTGTTTAACAAGCATCTACCACAGAGGAAACGCTTCCAAACTAAAACGTAAGTGGTAATCTTAAGTCCAGTAGTTCAATGCCTGCCAAACACTTTCTCCACTATTATCTAATTGAGATCTCAGAAAAATTTCAGACTTGGAAAAAAACTGCTTGGATGTATTCATACCTCTTTCTTCCTCATGTTTTTTGGCAGATGCGCTTTTAGGTCTTCCTCGTCCTCGTCTGATATGATCTGAATGGCTGTTACTTCGAGACCTCTTTCTGTTCTCTAAATCCTTACTTACTGTAGAATTTATCTTCTCTCTCCTAACTCTCTCTGTGCGCCTCCTCTTGGCCTCATGCTTGTTTTCTGTATGGATGAATAAAAGGGATATATTTTAGGGCTTAGCAAGAACTGTTTGCCCAAGTTCTCGCTGTCTTCTTTTTTCTTTCTGAATAGCACTAGAGTTTGCTGCCTGGCAAATCTTATAAAACGACCACCGTAATATCTATGCCCCTCGTATCCACACGGGAAAAAAAGAAATTCAACAGAATTCAAATGATCCACATTAACACATGAGGGAGAAAGAATCTTGTAACAGAAGACATTTATTTACTTGGCACCTTTAATTTCGGCCCTTACAAGTTTGCACAATTCCACAGCAAACTTTCTGCCTTCTTCTCTCTGTTTCCAAGCTACAAACGGTGAAGAATCGGAAAAGGGAAACAATATTCCATTCCTTTTTGCCCCACCCAAATTTTATAGAAATGTCAAATATGCAGAAGCAAAACTGACCTTAGCCATAATAAACTAAGGTCACCAATTAAAAGCAAACAGAAAGCATCTGTAGAAAACATAAAAACGCTAGGAAGTTAGGAAGTAGTTTCCACTTTAGCCACAGATGAGGTCATTTCTGACATTCTAAGAGCATGCTGATCCCTAAATGGAATAGCAATAGGGAAACTTTACTCAATATGGGGATTTAATTACCACAAGAAGCCGGCCTCTCACTCCAAACGAATCAAAATGTTGAATAACGTAAGTTTTTTGAAAAAGTAAACAAAAAACAAAAAACAACAACTTGCTTTAATACATACCTGAACTCAAAAGTAAGATAGAGGATACCCCAGTAAAATCACAGTGGCAGAAAGGAAAATAAATAAGAAAATTCACATCCCTAAAACTAAAGAGAATAATTTAGTGACGCTAATGTTAATAAGTTCTGATAACCCACTACCACTGGACCAACCTAAAAAGAACAATTTAAAAAGATTGTAAATAAATGTTTCATAGGCTACTGTAAAATTTTTAAGTAAAATAGTAATAGTTATTTCCAAATACCATATCTTTAGAGAATGAATTAATTCCAGGTCTCAGGTTAGACACATAAGAGATGATACAAGAACGTTTAATTATTGCAGATTGCAAGAAAGTTATCAAAGACAACCAGGCCTTATTAAAAGACTCAAGGACTGACTTAAAGAGGCTGACCGTTATAGGATAATCTGAGCATTGATAATGACTATAATAGATTGAAACACAGCAAATATACTTAGAGGCACAAGTACATGACATTAAATACAAAAGCAAAAGCTACTCGGCCACCACAGGAAGATGCTAAAGAACCGACTCGCTATTTTTAAAACTTAAATAGAGAAAAAATACTGCATTTACTCTGCCTTTTTTACTCAAACTGTACTACTCACCGGATAACCAAAGACCAGATGAAGAGAAGTTTCTCATTTTAGAATTACTGCAGCTAAAAAATGAAGAAGGAATGATAAAATCGGAGTATCACCATTTTCAACCTGAAATGAACTAAATTATCTAAGTGCTTAATACCACATACAAAATACCACATACAAAACTTAACTCACAATGGATTGAAAACCTGAATGTAACAGCTAAAACTATAAAATACTTAGGGGGGGAAAAAAAAAAACAGGAGAAAAGCTTCGTGACATTGGAGTTGGCAATAAATACTTGGATATGAGACCAAAAATACCGGCAACGAAAGAAAAATTAAAAACTTTTGTATGTCAAAGGACACTATCAATAGAGTAAAAAGGCAGCTCATGAAATCGAAGAAAATATTTGTAAAAATATATCAGATAAGGGATTAACATCCAGAATAAAAAGAATTTCCACAACTGAACAACAATAAACAACTCAATTCAAAAGAGGGCAAAGAACCTGAGTAGGCATTTCTCCAAAGAAGACAGACGATGGCCAATAAACACGTCATGAGATGTTCGGCATCCTTAATCGTTAGGAAAATGCAAATCTAAATCACAAAATACCACTTCACACCCATGAGGATGGCTATTATCAAAAGCACGTCAAATCAGCAGTGTTGGTGAGACGGTGAAGAAAGTAGGACCTTTGTGCTTTGCTGGTGGGCAGGTAAAATGCTGCAGCCGCTGTGGAGAACATGGCAATGCCTCAAAAAATGAAACATGAGATTACCACATGATCCAGCAATTCCATTTCTGGGCATATAAGCAACAGAAATGAAAACAGGGAATCGAACAGATACCTGCACAGCCATGTTCACAGCAGCATTACTCACAAAGCCAAAAGGAGGAAGTAACTCAAGCGTCCATTGATGTGTGAATAAATAAAATGTGGCATAAACATACAACAGACTATTGTTCAGGAAGGAAATTCTGACGCATGCTACAACACAGATGAACTCTGAAGACATTATGCTAACTGGAATAAGCCAGATCCGAACGGTCAGATACTGTATGGTTCCGCTTACAGGAGGTAACCGCCACAGTCAAGTTCACAGGCACAGAAAGAGAACAGCGTTTGCCTAGCACGGGGCGGGAGAAGCAAGAGGAGTGTTGTTTAATGGGTACAGAGTTTCAGTTGGGGAAGATGGAGAGAGTTCTGGAGCTGGATGGCAGTGATAGTTAAGTACACGATATGAAGGTACTTAATGCCACTGAACTGTGTACTTCAAAGTATTAAAATTACTAAATTTTATGTCACGTAAATTTTACAAGATAAAAGATTCAATAAAAAATGAAATTAGAAAATAAGATGAACGGCTAAAAATTAAAGTGCAAGAGAATAATGGACATGTCTGAAGACAGAATTACAGCTCAAGAAAGGGAGATCGAAGTCCCTGGAGCAAAGCAAAAAGACGAAAAGATCTTTCAAATGTGACAGTTAAGTGAAAAGAAAGATCCAAGGACACTCGTGCTGCTCATTTACAACACGACTGCTCATTATCTACCCAACGTCCACTCTCCCCAGCTTCGCTGAATACAGAACCCTGTTCTGTTCTAGAAGGCCAGGTGCTCAGCTAAAATAAAACCCACACGCCAAGACTCCTGCCGGGGAAGTGGCCCTGAAATTTAGTTCTGGCCAATCACATGTAAGTGAAGGGGTAAGGTTTCCAGAAAGATTTTGAAAGGGATAGCTGGGCCCGCAAGCCCCTCCGACGCTCTGCCCCTCCCTCTTCCTGCCTGCAGGCATGACCGCTGCCTCGCGACAGTGAGGATGAGAGCCCATCTTCTGATGGAGGAGATCTCAGGTGCTGGGTGACACCACTGAACCGCCAGTCTGCGGGGCTGACTTCACCTTTCTCTACTGAACAGGCAAAGTAAACTATTTGTCCGAACCTGTGTCAGGTGTTCTGTGGGTGGTGATCCTCATGTATCACCCAGTAAGTACCCAGAAGGACATAAAAAGAGAATGGGGAAAAATAAATAATAGGAAATACTGCCCGGAGCTGAAAACTTGAGCCTTCAGTTGGAAAGGACTGAGTGCCAAGGAAGACCGGGAACTTTTAAGTGTGAGTGCAAAGTAAAGGCATTCTCCACAGTGTGAGATTGGGAATACTCCACCGTAGGCCATGCATGAAAATTTGTCCTGGTCTGAAACAATTCCTGCAAGATTTGTTCCAGAAATAAAAACCATGGGTTTAAAAAGTGGTATATAAGAAAAAATGCGGTTATCCCTAGTATACAATAGAAAGAAAGCTTAGCCTGACAGCTGTGCAGCAGACCCAAATCAGTCTTAATCAGAACCCTTTTACAGAGGGTTCTGTAAAAAAGGGTCTCAGAGGTGAATACAGACATCATTATAAAAACTATATGATTAAGAACCTAAAAGTACAGGCGCAGAGGTGAAGGTATGCATTATTTCATCAAAAGGCAAAATAAAAACTATATCAAAGCTATGTGCCATATATGACTGTTTAACAATTTTAAGTGATTAACATGTTATAAACGATGTTTTCTGAAACAACAAAACCAAACCTTCGCTGTCAAGAAATTCAGAGTTGAGGATGAATGTTCAATCACTCTGGGTTTATAAAAGGTACTGGTGACAATATTTCATTTTTTTTTCCTTGACTGAAAATGAATATCATTTACAGACCTCTTCCCTATTCATCAGCCTTTGCCTGTTAACTTATCTTAGAGAATAATTTGAAATGTATGTTTAGGTTTAATTTTTTTATTCCTTTTTTCCTTCTCCCCATAAAAACTGGGGAGGTTGTTATATATTTGACTAAGCTTAACCTACAGCTTATACCCACTGAGAAATATAGTTAAATACTAGTAAACGATTCTAATTTCTTACCGTTTTAAATCTTTTTTTCCTTACTTTTAGAGCAAGCCTTTTATGAACTAGTACAGTAAGTCCTCACTTAACATCAGCAATAGGTTCTGCCACATTAAGCAAATGCTGTGTAATGAGCTCAATTCTACTATAGGTTAATTGATATAAACAAGAGTAGTTCCTATGGCATCTCATTAACGTTAAAACAAAACTACGTTATTCGAGGACCTGCTGTATCTCATTTAGATTTTGAGTTTACTTTTTCTTTGTAGTTTTATAATTAAAAATTTTAAAGGAAGAGGGTATATCCATGATTATTAAATGTAAAATGGCACCCTTGATGTCATCAAATACCCAGAACGCCCATCTGGAAAACTTTAAGATTCAAAAACTGCTTATCAGTATTTGGTAACTCACCAAATATTTGAATAGGTAACTACTACAGTATTCAAAGTGTGGTCTACAGTATAGCTACGGTCAATTTTTAAAGAAATTTAAAGGAAATTTTTAAAGAAATGTCTTCAAATGTACAGTTTAAGGCTTAATCTCAAGGTTAGTTTTTAAAATCTGTCAACCATTCAATGAAATCCTACATGAACTAGACAATTAACTTTTTAAATTTTATCTCCATTGAATACCAGCCACCAAAAAGGATAAAAGAAACAACACATACTAAACTCATTTGGAAAGGTGCCAAAGATTGTCTTGAGGTTCTACGTACTTGTACAAAACAGTGCACATTTCTTGCTTTGAGCATTTCTTAATACAGTTTTATTTGTAACACTCATCTCCTTCCTATCGCCTTCTAAACTTGCAAAATCCTTTCATTTCCATAATAGATTTTGTTTATTTGCATATATTTTCAGGTAGACAAAGTTCTATATAATTCTAGTGTCCTACCTCCCTATTTCTATGTATATTATGAAGATATAAAGATTAGCACATATGAAAAATGTGAGTTTTGAACAATTCAAACCTAGATAAATTTATTTGACTTAACCATTATTTTCCTCCTGCATGTCACAGTTACAAATAAATAAGAGGTTTTTTCGACCCACTGAAATTTAAAATGATCTTTTACAGCTTTGATTTCACTTTTAAAATAAGTGCGGTTTGAGCTTTAAAAATAGTTCTCTCTTTTTTTGTTTTAAATGTTAAATTACGCAAATAAAAGTTTTCCTTGATTCCTCCTTATTATCTAGTTAGCTACCCATTTACGCATTTGCCGATTAGTACTACATGGAGAAATCATTTTGTGGGGTCTTAAAAACAAACGAAAAATAGACCTACTATATGATCCCAGCAATTCTACTTCTGAGTATTTATCTGAAGAATATAAAAACATTAACTCGAAAAGATACATGTTACCCCCGTGTTCATTACAGAACAGCCAAGATATGGAAACAACCTAAGTATCCATCGATGGATGAATGGATAAAGTAAATGTGGAATATTACACAGCCATAAAAAAGAAGGAAATTTTGCCATGTGTGACAATGTGGATGGACCTTGAGGGCATTATGGTAAGTGAATTAAGTCAGACAGAGATAAATATCATATGATCTCACTTATATGTAGATTCTTAAACAAACAAATCCTAAGCTCACAGATACAGAGAAAGGATCGGAAGGGCTGGGGAGTGGGTAAAATGGGTGAACGGGGCCCAAAAGGTCCAAATTTCCAGTTATAAGTCACGGAAATGCAATGTATACCGTGGTGACACTAGTTAATAACACTGTATTACACATTTGAAAGTGCTCAAAAAAAAATTGTAAAAAACAAACAAGTTCATACAAGTACTGTTCTGCATTTTTTTCTTAAAAGTGTTTTAGAGATTTTTCCATGTCAGTACCTGAAAATCTGCCTCCTTCTTTCTAATGAGCACATACTGCTGTTCTCAAAAAGACAGACCCTACTTAATTAACCATTCCCCTGAAGATGTCTGGCTTAAAAACTTCTTGCTATTATAAACAGCACTGCCTGAAAATCCTAGTAAATACTGTGTATTACAAACAATTATACCTTTAGGCTACAGATCTACCGATAAAGAAGTCTAAATTCTAGATTATGTGCATTTAAAACGTTTAACAACTACTGTCAGATTGCTCTCCAAAAAGGCTGTGCCAACTTACACTCTCGCCCCTGGTACAAGAGCGCTCTCTGCGCCACACTCATCAAAGCACGTAGGAAGCCTTTACGTTTGCGTCAGACTTGGGCAAAAAGAATGGTATTTTATTTTAACTGCATTTCCCAGATTGTTAGTGAAGGTGTTTATCTTTCCAGATACTGTATTATCTATTTTCTTCTATAAATTCTCTGCTCACTTCAACTGAAATGTCCTAGATCCCACTGACAACATTCATCAAACACTTGGTGAACTAAAGAGAATTTTTTAAATTATACTCTTCTCAATTCCGTACATGCTATGGATTATCCAGGGCCAATCTTAAGGAATTTAATTGTTAAAATAAGTATTTTACTGAGTACTTGTAAGAGACTGAGCTTTACGTTAGACATTTTCATGAGCACGTCACCCACACTTCAATCCTCTGAAGGCTGGTACTATAAACCTACCTGACACACAGGCTGCTCACCGAGGTTAACTGACGTGTGAGAGTGTGACGAATCTGGAACCCACGAGAGCACTGCAGCGAGCTGCTCTCCAGGGCCTGAACACTCTCACCCTTCCCCTGAAAACCCTTTCCTCCTCCGGCTTCCATGGGACAGTCTATCCCTGGTGCTCCTCTGTCCTTCCTAACTATTCTTCGCTTCTGTTGCTACATCCTCTTCCTCCCCCCTGGGATTTCTAGGCTTCGATGTTTCATCTTCACGTCAAGGTCGCAAGGCCGCTCTTATTAAACGACAGAACCTCAGGAAACTCCAAGTGTAAAATAACAACGAACTGCTTCCCACTCATCAGCATGACTTACAGAGCGCCACTGTCCATCGGCTGCTCTCCACTGACCCACCTTTCGTAGCGGAACTGACGTCCCCACCCACCTCAACCCTTTAAGACTGGAGGTGACCAGAGTTCAGTTCTTGAACTCCTTCCTCTTCCTACCTTACAGACTCCCTTACACAAGTTCATCCATTTCCATGGCAACTACCATCTAGCTGCTGATGGCTTTACCTCCAGCTGAGGCTATTCCCTGAGCTTCAGACTGCATGTCCGACTGGGGGAAAAACATCCACGTGGATATTGCACGACTGCGTCCAAAACTAAATTCTTCATCTTACTCTTAAAACTTGTCTTCCCTTTGATATTCCCTTTCTAACCGATAAGCCAAGTCAGAAATCCGGGAATCATTCTAAACAGTTCCCTCTGATTCAAGTGATTCTGACTTAACACTTGTACAGCATGTGTCGCTTCTCTCTTCTGTGTTTCTTCCTTACCTCACTGCTTGCCTGAATCGCTGGTATAGAAAAGGGGCTCAAAAAAACTGTTGAATAAAAAGAAGAAACACACTTGTCCCACTCAGGGCGCGGAGCACGTCTCGTTCACGCTGGAGGCTCAGAACCGAGCTGACGTGCCGCCCCAGCCATCTACTAAATGAATCACTTCAGGGCTCCCACACTTGAATCAAACTCTTAGGGAATAAGATCCAGGAGTTCATTTTTCCCCCTCCTTATAAGACTTTTATTAATGCCAGAAATGAACTGGTAAAAACACAATTTTAAAAATCAGTGTGACTGCGGGTACAAAGGTGGTATAAACAGGGACTGAGGCGGCCTTGAGAGGAAGGAATCCATTTTTAACGAGCTCTCTAGGTGACTCCTATATAACCAATCCAGCAACAGCTTTTAAGAACCAATAAATTAAGTCCATTCTCACGATGAAAGGAAGCAACTTCAAAGAGGCAGAAATGAGATTAAACGATGTTCCTGCCACCTTCACGCAGATGCAGAACAGAGATCTTCAGACGAAAATATAACCAGCTGTTGCATCAGCCAGCAGCACAGCACCACCTTGTCCCCGCGACCTCCTCACTCAGTGAACGCGCTGCAGCGCCCACCGCCACCTTCCGCTCCCACCGACTATTCTCTAGTCAGCGACCAGAACCTTTTTAAAAGGCAAATCGGAACGTGCCACCTTCCCTCACCCTATCCCACATTCTAGCAATAGTTGCTCCCGACATTTTAAGAACAAATCCAAACTTCTTACTCTGGTCTCATCTCCCACGCTCCCCTGCTCTGACTGTCCCCATTGCAACCACACTGGCCCTTTTGTTCCTAAAATATACCAATCCTTTTCCAGTCGTAGAATTTTTGCATTTGCTATTTCGTCTGTCAAGAATGTTCTCCCTGATCTGATCATGACCAGGCCCTTGTTCCTATTCGGGCTCACCTTCAATGTCACTTCTCAGAGAGGCCCTCTCCTACCACTGAATGAAAAGCAGCCTTCTAGTCACACACTAGGACAGCACTCTACTTTAATGTCCCACAAGGCATTTATCATGAGCTGATGTCCTCTGCCCGTCACCTGCCCACAGGGATGTAAGCTCCATGACAGCGGTGAGCCTGCCCTGACAGCGCAGTCATTATTTTATGCCCGAGGCTTAGAACACTGCCTGGCACACAGCGGATATTCGTGATCGATCTACACTTATCCAAGGGTCATCACTGTACGAAGTTCTGACTTTATGAAAGAACAACAGTCTCATCTTTTAATAGTCATTGAATAAATCCAACTTGTCTAATTAATGGGAAAGTAAAATCGAAACGAAATTATTTAGATATTCTAAATTGGGAAATTATAAACAATAACCGGTATGTCTAAAAATTATAGTCACGTCAAAACCAAGTTACATTTTTTCCAGTCACTAGTTTTAAAAAACTTTCGAGTTGCTACAAATTTTATCAGCGCAATGAAAGTAAAAACCCAAATTCTGCCAAGCAGGAAAAAGATAAATTGTGGCATATCCATACAAAGAATACTACTAAGCAATAAAAAGGGATTAATTCTTAATTTACATATACAACAACACGGCTGAATCTTACACTACGCTCAGTGAGAGAAGCCAGGCAAACGAGCAGGCATATGGTTCCATTTAGATAAACGTCCAGAGCAGCGCCGGAAAGATGATTGGTGGCTATCTGGGAGCGGGGACAGCGAGGAGAGACCACAAAGGGGAACTAGAAAACTCTGGGGAATGCCAGACATGTTCATTATGTTGACTGCAGCGATTATTTGATTGGTGTAAACATATGACAAAACTTACCAAACTGTTCACTTAAATACGTGTGACTTGCTGAAAGTCAATTTCACCTTAAACCTTTTTTATTTTTAAAAATCAGATAAAGTGTACTCCCTTAATTAAAACCCTTCGATGGCTCTCTATCCTCCAAAAACATAGAAAATGTGTTACAGACTTTATCGGCATTATAAGGGAGTTGACATCTAAATGGAATGAACAGGAAACTAATTTCATAATCTGATTTCCAACAGCTAATAAAAACCAGACATACTTCAAAAGATATTAATTTTTAACTTCAACAAAAATGTAAACAGTAAATTCACAAAAATTAACTTTAAATTTCTACATCAAAAAGCTAAAAATGTGGTAAACTTTCACAGTTACCTGTAGAAGGTGATGATTTCTCTGGATGCTTTGCATTTAAAAGTTTTCTGCTAATAAATATGTAACCACAGGGACATGATTTACATGCAACAGGAACCTGTAGGAAAAAAATATATACATATGCATTATTACTATTTTTCCATGGTTAAACATCTCAGTGTCTATGTAGTCTTGAACTAAATAAGTTACTTGAAGTAGGAATCATAGATGTATTTAAACGTCACCTTCTTACAACAAATTATTTGAGATGGGGATTGTGTCCTACAGATCTTCACATTCTAATGCTTTACAATACCATCAATACAGTAAATGAATGAAAAACGTGCTGATGTGAGTGACCAATAGAAAAGCACAATATGGTCGGAGCCAGGGAAAGTATACAGGGGGAAAAGGTAGTATTTCCTAAAATATTTGATTAGCAGTTTATACAGAACAAATTGGAAAAGGGCACATGGCTGGGAAGTCATTAAAGCGATCCCAGGATAAGATTATGAGGGCCAAACGGGAATGAACAGTGAGAATGGAAATGGAGAAGAGGTGGATCTGGCAGACATTTCAAAAGGGAAAAAGAACTCTAAAGGACTCAGGTTCTAACATGAGAAGGTAAGATGCCAATTACCACCGACAAAAAAAGAGAGTTTACAACAACTAGTTTGAGAGGCAAAAGTATAGTACAAACAACAGAGAACGCAGGAGAAAGTAGGAGTTGAGATCTAGCACTATACAGTCTCAGCTCCAGAAAGGACACTGAATAAAACACTACGAACCTTGAGAAAGAAGATGCTACTAAGAAGGGCTCCTGATGGCTAACTGGGCTCAAACGTAAAAACAGAGCCTAGCAGCCATTTCGACACAGAGGCCTCTCACCGCAAACTGCGCTTCAGGGAGCAGCCCGCACTGAACCGCCTGCCGGCCCTGTGTTCCTGCCGGCTGAGCCAACTCTTATAAAGGAGCTCCTGGAATTGTCTGTCACCAATAGGACTGAGGCTTTCCCTGTCCAATGGGAGCTACAAAGCTATATCACCATCAGCATCTTCACAGACTAGAGTGGCTCCCCTCCTACCAGTCAGGACAGTGCTTCTTAGACTAATCAGGCTGTAAGGATTTGGAGTCCAACCAGGGACCAGGGATGAGGCCCTTTCTCTGTATGTCAGCTCCTCTGCTGCTCAGAGAGCACAGGGTCCCTTTCCACTGAAGAGTGAAGACTAGTTTCTCTGGCTGGAGCTGAAACACCGAAGACATCTTGCCAGACCAGAGTGGAGGCCACGCGGAGCAGAGCTGTCAAGCCAGAGAGGGGCTTTGCCCCAGGGCCACTGACTAAAGTGTCTTTCTTCACAGCACCCCAAACTGGGCAATCCTGGTGGCAATGAACTGGCATCAGTGACCATCAGTTGACAACACTTAAGCTCTTCAGGCTTCTGTTTATAAATCTCTGTAATACAAGTGGCTCCGTTCTCCCTTTCCAGTCTATAAATATATTTTAAAGCCAAAAGTTACTGCAAATCATTGGAGAAATTTTTACATTGCCCCCGATAATCGTTTCATTAATATTAACCTTAACGATCCTTGGAATCAAGACATGGTAACCAAAAACCAGAAATTAATCAACAGAAAGTACTCAGAGGACAGTCAGAAAACTGCAATTCCCTCTGTGAGATAAATTCCATTTGCCCATCGTTCTACTTGTATAACAGGTTAGTTGCAATTAAAAAGCTCTTTATCCATGTATGAACAAGATGCTTCATATTCTATAGTATAAATGCTTGATAATTAAGCTAAATTAAAATTCTGGCAGAATTCTTTTTCTTTGCTAAAAATACTGAACAAAGGATCTCATTTGTATTTAAGAAAGATAACAACAAATCCTATAAAAATAATCAAACTCTAGATATGTCTAACAGCTTGCTTTGTTAAAAATGTGATGAGATTCTTTCCAACCATGACAGAAAATGTAACATTTCATTCTTCAATAGTGTAAAATCTGCCCAAAATAGATGTTTGTCATTTTTTAAATTCCACATCTTCATAGAAACCAAGCTCAAAGGTACTGACTCATTTCCTTTATATTTAAACACAGCTTGAAGAACATCTACAATAATAGAAATTGTTTTGAATTAATGCTATTCAAAAAAACATAAAAAACATGATGTTCTTACTCAACAGATTCTTTGCTGCTTAGCAAGCATTTTATTCTGGCTACTGAACCTCAATAAATATAAATTTAGGTCTCTGTCTGATGATAACAAGAAAATTACATCAATCCATATCCAGAATTAACAGACAGTGCTACAGTTTGATGAGAAATGCACATTTGGCTTTGGGATGAAGAATGCACAATGACTAATTGATGGGTTGATTTTCACCCCTTAATTCAAGTGTCTTATGCTCAAGAAACATTCAATGCGCCTGAGCTAAGTCATCCCAAAGGCCTTTTTAAAATGGAACGTTCCTTCCCTCCATCCCAACTCGGAAAAAAAAAGCCAACCCAACCACCACAACCCAACTCCTATAAAAAGAATTATTAAAGAGGGTGGACAGATGGGGAGGGGAGAGGAAAAAAAAGAGGGTGGACAACTTCGGTATTTGTCTCTTTAAATTACAGTATAATCGCGATTTTAAACAAACAGCCTAAACTTCCTTCAAGTTCAGTGGTAATGCCAAAGATAATAGCAATGAAAATTCTAATGTTCCACTTTCAGGAATTCAAAATGGAAAAAAAAAATCCAGTTTTGTTTACTGATGGCTTGTGCATCAATATATTTCTTGAAAAATGTATTTACATGGTATGTTTTACAAGTAAAACAGATTTAAAAAAAAAAAAAAACCTCTACAAGAAACAAAATCCTGGTCCTATATTGTTTCATTGATGTAAAAAAGCTCAAAAATAACCACATTGTAGAGAACTCGTTTATATTCTGCACTGTTAAGAGAATCAGTTACCTATAGTGGACATGTTCCCTATATGCTACATAAAATTTCCTATAAAATAGCTGCTCTATTTTAAAAAAGGCAAAACCAGAAACATACACAAAAGATACCAGAAACTAACAAGAATCATGAATACTACTTCACACAAAATGGCTCAGTAACTTGGGTTAGTGGATGTGAAACCTCCTTGAAAACGAAAAATGTGCTTCAGATGTTTCAGAACGTCTGTTTTCAAGAGAGCCATGTAAAGGGGATGTTATAAAGCAACTAAAAATCTAGTTCTTTCTTGTTTCCTGCTCTCTGTACCTATTTTTAAACTTACACACGCACAAAACATGGGGCAATCTTATATATGTAGTTTACATTTATAAACTAAATTCTAGTATTTGTCAGGCAACTTAGCCTATATTAGCACTATTATGATGTTTAAAAAATGGTTTGCTCGATTATAAGAAGTTTGCATTTTCAAGTAATTAGAATGCTAAAACTTATCTATTTTTTTAATTCAGTTGCTATTAATAAAAGATAAATCATTTTTAAGAATTGGCAAAAGTTTTAATTAGTCCTCGTGTATGTTATACTCTCCTAAGTATTTAAGGACAAAGCAAACCAACATGTAGTAGCTTGCTACTGACTGAATGATTCCCCTACCACACCCCAAATTCATATACTGAAACCCTAATCCCCAGTGTGATGGCATCTGGAGATGAGATAATTAGGTTTAGTTGAGGTCATGATGTGGGGCCCTCAGGGTGGGATTAGTGCCACTGTAAGAGACACCAGGGAGCTCTCCCTCTGCCAAGATCTTGCATATCCAGCCTCCAGACTGTGAGAAAATAAATTACTGTTGTTTGAGCCGACTGATCTATAGTATTTTGTCATGGCAGCTAAAGGAGGGGATTGTGTAAAAATTATGAGGATCTTTCCAAATAAAATGCTGGTCATGTTTTGTTCAACAGTTACAGGGATTCCTACAAGTTTATTAACCTTTCCTCTTTCTTTAACCAGGATATCAAAAACAGGTTATTTTTCCCAAAGGGTTACTTTATGCCAAGTAAAACAAAGTCAGGATTTGCAATAACTTGTGTCCTACAGAAACTGGAATGCATAATGCATACCAAGTAAACTTTACACTTCTGCACAATTAATTGGTACAAATGGAAATAATTTAAGTATTGAAATAAATCCCTAGAAAGAGACTTAAATCGCAAAGTCCAATTTTGTCAGAATTGAACAAATTTCGTTTATTGGTAAGAATGGAAGTTTAACTTTCGAAAAGATGACTATTTTTATAATGCATACTCAAATTCTAAAATCAGTCAACTGTAATTCTTGCACAATCTTCCTCTGATCAGCATTTCTACCACTGTCCATCAAAGATATTAAATAAAACATGCATGTAGTATCTTGTTACAAGATCTGATCAACCTATACGATCGCTCCTTAAAGAATGCACTAAAATCAGCTTAAGTCTCCAGCTATGTCAAATTACTCCTGACGAGAAAAAAAAAGAAACAGGAAAAGGGGAGGAGAGAGGTAGTCATTTTGAAAAAATTCTCTCAGTGGAAAAGGGAAAAACACACCCAGATCCGCATGTGGGCATGAAATAAGAGCCTCACGAATGGTTTTAATTGAGAATTTTAACTCATTAGACTGTAAAGCCTTGAGGAAAGTCAATTATTCTAGTAAAGAATGAAGCACGCTTAAACTAAAAACCAGTAAAATGAGAATTTTTAAATTACAGCTCCGACACCATTAATTGTGTATAGAAAGCAGTCAGTTAAAATTCATGAAACCACATATGTCTATATATTTTTTAATCTGGAAGCAGAAACGCCAAATTCGTAACGGTGGGTTCCGCGGAGGGTGGGGACGGAGCGCCGGGCAGGGGCGGGCTCGGCCGGGCGTTATTCAACGACGTTCCACTAAAACAACGTACGGAAAGAATCCCCGGCCCTTTACATCGAAAATATGGTGAAGTGGATAATGAGGATTTCTTTAAATCTCCAATTTCGCTGAAACTTAAAACCATTACACTGAGGCCCCTTTTGTCGCAGTCAGGCGCCCGCCCGGGGAGCGGTGGGGACAGTCTGGGGTCCCCCGTGCGCGTCCGGTGGGAACAAAGCCACCCCGCGCCGCAGGGCTCTCGGCTCCGGGAGCCGGGGCTCGGG